ATTCTTTGCTCTCGACGGCTTCCGAGCCTAAATTCACTACCGATCCAAGTCTAAACCAGACAGATTCCGAGTGTTTACCTCTTGCGGTTAGTTTGAAGAAGGGTGTAGATGATGCTTTATTCCGGTGAGAAACACGATTGTTCGTTGATTATAAGACAAGATAATTTGATAGTTATTTGCACAAGCAATGGCCGCAGTGAATATGCTTAGTTGTTGTAGGCTGTCGATTCATTGGTGAAGAAACTGAAGAAGAAGAAGAGTGGTCAGGGCACTGTGGAGGACCTGGAATTTGCTTTAGCAAATCCCGGTATGCATAGTAAATGTGTTACAATACCGAGGTCATTGGACGGTAGACTTCAGGTAATTTTTGTCTATTCGTCTTAATTTCATTCATTTGTCTGCATATCCTATTGCATTGAATTGTTCATGCACAAGCAACGCGATAAATTACGAAAAGAGGTGAATGTTGAGTTGTTTGTATTGCATGTACAGTGGTGATAAGTTCTTCGTCCGGCATCAATATCAATGAATATTTTGTTTAATCACCCATGATTCAATAATATTACTCGCACTTTTAGACTTGATCACTTCCTCAATGAATTAATTCACAGTTGAAAATTTGCACATAAATATCGCTGCTAATCAGCGCAATTTTCGTTTGTACACTCACAAATTTTCCTCTCTCAAACNTTCATTGCAGTTGGCGCCATCGAAAAATTCAGTTTTGTTAGTGTAAAAGCAGTCGATTTTGACGGAATGCTAACATATGTGAACATTTTGATATGATATGATAATGTGAGATAATTGCAATCATTTACTCGTGAACGGATTGATGTTTCGAGAGGGAAACTGTTTTGATATGTTGATTGATATGCACAGTTTGTATTTGTTCGTTTAATAGTGTTCTGACAGTAGTCATCGTTTCGATGATATTCATTCCAGTTGTTGACAGCTAATCGAAAATTTGAGGTATCACATCGAAAAGGATTACCGCATGTGATATATTGTCGTGTATGGAGATGGCCTGATTTGCAGTCTCATCATGAACTAAAACCTGTGCCTGAATGTTTGTACCCATATGACAATAAAAGCCAATTAATTTGTATCAATCCGTATCATTATCAAAGAATTGAACCACAGGTCAGTTGCATTCTCTTTCGTTCATATGATCTTGTGATCACTGAAAGCATCTCTTTTTTACAGTCACTTCTGATTGTAAGTGATCGTTTTGCTCGAGTGATCTGTCAGATGTGTTGAAATATCTTAAATGTCAATCCATTTCTGCTTCTTATTTATAGATCACCTTTTGAAACTATTCACTTCTTTTCAATGTAATTTTGATGAAGAAATTTTGCTCGAACCGGTTTTTCATTTGTTTTGAAAGTTCATTCTTTAAGATATAGTGGGAAGTGTGAAATATGCGAGATATTTTTAGTTGATTGAGTTTTAAAACGATTCATTTAAAGTGAAGTCTTCTGAATAAATATTTATGCGTTTATATTAAGATACTTTTGTATTTGGTGTTTACCGATAATGATGATGTAGAACACTTATTGTATAGGAGCAATTCAGAAAAGTGTCTGTTTTTCAAAATAATATTAATCGCTCATAGATAATTGCATAAGATTG